AAATGACCCAACTTCCCCTTTCCATGAAAAGAAGCTCTTATCTATTACTTAGGTCTAAATATTCATTAGGCCTTCCTGTTCTGTGTCATGCTTTCCTGTCTTCTAAGCCCCTGACAGATTCCTTGTATGTCCTTTTACATCTTTTTTCTTGTTTATTTCTTCTTTGAAGCTTTTCTTCCGTGTTTTCAGGGAAGTATTTATTCATTCTGGTAATCTGGAGAGTACAGATGTATACCTCCATTCTTTTTGCCCTCTCCTCTAGCATGTAGACTAACTTGCACTTTGTACAGTAGAGGTTTTTCTTTGTCCTGTGAGATTGGCAAACATGACTCAATTTCTGCAGGTGATAGCATATTTCTGCTTGTCTTCCATATTTGTCTGAAGCGAGACCCTTTGTCTTCTTTTTAGTGAAAGACTCAACTCGCTCTTGTGACCAGCTCCTATGGCTAAGTGTCTTGACTCCGCTGACGATTCCGAAAAGACAATTTATTTAGAGCAGGCTCCCAGGCTTTCCTCAAGATAGGGCAAGGCTATCCTCACAGCTGTCTTTAATTATTAGTTAGCTTATGCCTGCCACATCTTAATATAGTCAGAAGCAAGCCACAAGCAGACATCCAATTATCTAATTCAATTTAATTACCCACCTTGTTTCTTCTTGTCACTGTACTTCCTTGGTTGCTTGGCACTCTCAATAATCCAACTCGCATTACTGGCAAAGCTTTATGGCTTTTATCAAGATGGCTCTTCTACTATGCCAAACCGAAAAAACAACAATAACAACAGAAGTACCTAGCATACATCACAAGCAGTTCTTAAGAAACAAAGCTGTCTGATAATGGAGTGGGCTGCTGCATATGGTAATGAATTTCTCATCACTAAAAGTTTTCACCCTTCAGGCAGAGCTTATATTGCATGTCTTCTTGGGTCTCTTTCAAATACGTCTCTCTATATATACTTTTCTGTGTTCCCCTTAAGCAATATTTAGCCCATACTTAGGATTCTGTTGATTCAGTGACTTCAAGGCTTATAATTACATTCAAATAACCTTTTACATATATATCTCCTTTGCTCAAGTCCTATTTTGATGCTTCATTGTGGTATGGAAATGACCTTATGTTCTCAAAAGTCGTGCCAGCGGATTACAAATTCTGGAAAGTCCTATAAAGGTAAAAAAGTTTTAAGTATGGGCCTGGTGATGTATGTCTAGTATGTCTGTTGTCCAGGGATCAGCCTAGCTGACAAAGAATCTTATCTCAGTTCCTGAAAGAATTGGCAGATATTAATGGAAGGAGATACCACAAGACTGGATAAGTGCAAATGTCCCAAATTTTTTTTAAAGAAGAGTACAGAGTCTACTCCAGTTCAGTGATCTTGACTTCGGTTCTTGGAAAATTTTTAGAAAGAATCACTAGAGATAATTAGTGAATATCTAGAAAAAGAAGCAGTGATTCCAAAAAACTACTAAGACTTCATCAAGAGCAAATCACCCCAGACTAGCTTCATTTTCTTTTTTGATAGGATAGTTAAACTAATAGGTTGATGTTATATATCTAGTTTACTTAGATTTTAGCAAAACTTTTGATAAAATATATCATGCTATTCTTGCGTACATGTTGGAGAAATATGGATCAGTGGATTATATTATCTAGAACCCAGACGTGAGGAACCAACAGCCTTGAGGCCACATGTGGCCTTCTAGATCCTTGGGTGTGGCCTTTTGACTGAATCCAAGTTTTACAGAACAAATCCTTTTATTAAGGGGATTTGTTCTGTGAAGTCTGGATTCAGTCAAGGGGCCACCCTTGAGGACCTAGAGGGCCACATGTGGCCTCGAGGCCAAAAGTTCCCCACCCCTGATCTAGGTAATATTATCCAGATGGCCCACTCAAAGAGTAGCTGTTCTATAGCATGTTCCATAGCATGGTTCCCTAGCATGAGGTCTCCAGTAGAATACGTCAGGATTTATTCCTTGGCCCTGTGCTCTTTAACATTTTTATTTGTGACCTGGATAAAGACATAGAAGGCACACTCATTAAATTTGCAGGTCACACAAAGCTCAGAGGGATATCTAACATACTGGATGGCAGAGTTAATATCCAAAAGGATCTCGACAGGCTAGAGTATTAGGCTGAATATAAAGATGAAATTCAGTAGCAATGAATGTAAAGTCTCGACACTTGGGTACAAAAAAATCAACCCGTGTATATAAGAGGTTGTATGGATGGGCAGCAGTTGGTATGAATAGAATCTGGAGGTTTTAAAGGACCTCAAGCACAACATGGGTATGCAGTGTGATATGCAGCCAAAAATGCCAATGCAATTTCAAGCTGCATCAGAAGCACAGCTTCCTAAAGCAGGAAAGTAATAATACCACAGTACTCTGTTCTAATGAGACCTCATGTGAAGTACTGTAGTTGGCATAAGGATTGGAGTGAGGGACCAATTAGAAGGCCATGGTAATAGTCTAGGCAAGCAATGATGAGGGTCTGAAGTAGGGATGTGACTGAGTGGAAAGAAAGGGACACATTATAGAGATGTTATAGAAAAAAGACTAGAGCTTAGGAGAGAGGTCTGGGCTAGATAAATAGATAAGACGACCAGTTGCATAAAGCTGATCATTGAACCCATGGGAGCCAATCAGATAGTGTAGAGAGAAAAGAGGAGAGAGCTCAGGACAGAGCTTTGGAAGATACCCACAGTTAGTGGGCATGACATGGACAAAGATCTGGCAAAAGAGATTAAGGAGCAGTCAGACAAGTAGGAGAAGAGTCACAGAAATCTAATGAGGAGAGAGTGTGCAGGAGGAGATGCTCAACAGTGTCAAATGCTATAGAACAAGAAGGACGAAGATGAAGTAGAGGCCAATAGACTGTACAATTAAGAGATCCTTGGTAACTTTGGAGAGAGCAGTTGCAGTTGAATAACAAGGTCTGAAGCCATATTGCAGAGGGTTTAGGGAGAATAGGAAAAGAAGGAGAGATGGCTTTTCCAAGTTTAGATGAGAAGGGCAGATATATGATGACAACTGGTGGGCATGGTAGGATCTAGTGAGGATTTTGTAAAGATGGTGAAGCCTTGGGTATGTTTGTAGGCATTAGAGAAGGTGCCAGTGGGTTGGGAGAGATTAGAGATTGGAGATGATAGGGAAGACAGTCTGCTGGAGTACGTCAGATCAAGGGTTTGTATAGAAGGGTTGGCCTGGACAAGTGGAAGGACGACCTCATCATCAGAGGCTGGCATGAAGGAGGGCATAGTGGGGGAATATGTCAGAGGAATGTGAGATGAGTAGGGGAGAGAAGGGGGCTCTTGGCAAATGGCTTCAGTTGTTTCAGTAAAGTATGTGGCAACATTCTCAGCATCAAGAGTAGGAGGAGAGTAGCTACTAAAGGAGGCTAAAGGAGAGAAAAGATTTGGAGCAGCTGCTGTGGTGAATGGGATAGGGTCTCAGGGAGGAGGAGTAGGCTTGCCGTCCTATAGTGAGAGTCTAGTTGAGATTAACTGACCTAAAGTAAAGGTGGATCCAGTTTGCACTGTTTCATGATTTCATCCAGTTCCATTCAGGATCATGTGGTTAGGGACCAAGGAGGTTGATGGTGAGAATAATCCATGGTTGACGTTTGTCCTGGTTTAATTGGCCATCGTATGACATAGGAGCAAAGGAATCAAAATGAAGAATCGAGGATAGCGTCGAGTTGGACTGGGGTCAGGAATGAGAAGAGTGGAGAGTGTGACCAAAGCAAGGATAATGTTCTAGAATGATGCTGAGGACCAGAGGGATTAGAGGTACTTCTATTGCACTTTTCCTGGGAAGGGAAGGGCTACCTCGTCCATGCCCTCTGCCATCATCCTGGAAGGCTGCCCCTGAGCAGATGCCATCTGGCAATGGCTCCTGCAGCAGCTGTGGCCAAAGCTGCTGAAGACCCAGAAAGGAGTGTTCTTGTCACCAAAGTTCTTGGCACCATCCAGTGGCTCGGCATCAGAAACTAATAGAATCTGATCAGTAGAAATGAAACCAGAGAAGAGGCATTGCCGTCTGCTTTGCCAGTGTATGCTAAGGTCCACAGGACTTCTCCATTTGACTTGCAGCTGTCCCCCTCATTGGCGCATGAGCTCCTTAAGGATAGGGACTGTCTTCCCTTTCTGTTTGTGTCCTCAGCTCTTAGCACAATGCTTTGCACATAGTAAGTGCTTAATAAATGCTTTGCTCATTCACACTGTATGGATCTTGTATATACATGTTTGTTTGCTTGTTGTCTCCGTCATTAGAATGTAAGATACCTGGGGGCATGATCTTGTTTTTGCCGGTCTGTGTATTCTCAGCATTGCTTAGTAATGCTTATAGACTGATTGCAGCATCTGGTGCTCCCCTATCTCATGGTTTTATAGATACCAGTAATGTGTTTTGATCACATGACCTCCTATTTGAGTGTCAAAGACTGTCATTTGGTACAAATAGATGTATAAGATTGGGGCATATCATCTCTGGCATGAAATGGACTACTTAAAAACATGGTCATTTTTGTGGTCTTAAAATGAGATATTCTTTAAAGAAACAGCTATTTTACTAAGCCTGTGCTTTGGAGGGCATTATAGATAAGGGGAAGATAGAAAGATGAAAAAAATAATTATAATTATATTATATTATATTATAATTATCATACAAGAAAGAACCCATTGAGTGCATAAGAAAGGGGCAGTGTTGTAAGGGTTCTGAGGAAGGAAAGATTCTTCTCATTGAGAGGACCAGGAAGGCTTTTGTGGAGGAGGTAACATGTAAACCAAGCTTAAAGAAGGATTTCAAGAAAAACAGAGATGAGAGTATTCTAGGCAGAGGGAATGGCATGGATAAAAGTACTGAGTTGTTTAGAGAAAGACAAGTAAATTAGTTTGATTGGAGCATGATGAGTTAGTGGTGTGAGATAGGGCTGGAAAGATAGAAAGGGAGTTGATTCTAGAAGATCTTGTGTGTCTTGCTAAGGAGTTTGGACTTTATTCCATAGGTCACTGAAGAGATCAGACATGTGCATGAGGAAGATTATTTTGTCGGAGCTGTGACGTCATTTAGAACAGGGAGATACAGGAGACAGATTATGAGACTACTGTAACAACCCAGGTAGGAGCATTCATTGAAGGTCTAAGCAAAGGTGGTAGCAATGGGAATATCACCAGACCCCAGCCCTAAAGCAGTAAGGGTTTTCTCTCTCCTCTGACATTTCATCTTCCTTGTATCCCATCTGCAGGGAGTCAGCTCTATTTGTGCTCTTGCCTCCTCTCTGACGGTGTTCTTGGACTGCCCTCCTCAAAAGAGCTATTATAACCAGGATAGACTATTCACATTGCAGAAGGAAAGGTTTGACTTCCTTTTTTCCTTTGCCAGCATGGTTAACTCATTACCTGGGGAGCCTAGCTCTCCTTTAGAATTGCTTCCTTTGGTCCTAATCTCTTTTTTTCCCTGGATTCCTGCAAGGTGCTCAAAGGCCGCAGAGAAACGAAAAGTATCCCAGAGCTAGCTGATAGCTATTTCTAAGTTTCACCAGACTCACAGGGTTGTCAGTGCTATTTTGTAGGGTGGATTCTCACTACTTTCCGCTCTGCCCTAACCACTATTATCTCTGAGAAAAGGACTCTATTCTTTTTTAAGCTTCCTGGTGGGGTCTCATTTGTGTAATGATGGGTAAGTCACTTAACCTCTCTAAGCTTGAGTTGTCACATTTGTAAAATGGAGATAATCACATTTGCACTGTATACCTCTCAGGACTGTTATGAGGGAAGTGTTTTTAGACCTTAAATTGTTAGATAAATTTGAATCATTAGCCTCAAAGCAACTACTTGCTTGTTTTTTTTTTCATTGTTTCGGAATAGTTAAGCTATGAAGGAAACAAAAGATGTGTGTTTTAGAATAAGAAAATGCCATGAGCTTGAAGGTAATGAATTTGATGTTGTTGGGTTTTTTAACCCATTAAGGTGAAATGTTAGTATATATTAAGATAAAGCAAAAATGAAAGTTTGGTTTGTTTTTTTTTTAAATAAATACTTAGTGGGAAAGGAATCAAGGCCAAGGCCAACAATTATCCTACTATGTGATTTGAGGCAAGTCTTTCTGCCCCAGTTTCCTTATCTATAAAATGAAGGGATTGCACCAAATTATCTTTCAGGACCCTTTACTGTTCTAACAATCTAGATCTAAATTATAAGACATGGGTGCAGCTAGCTGGCACAGTGGATAGAGCACCAGCCCTGAAGACAAGAGGACCTGAGTTCAAATCTGGCCTCAGACCAAACACTCAACACTTACCAGCTGTGTGAGCCTGGGCGAGTCATTTAACCCCAATTGCCTAAAATAAATAAATTAATTAATTATAAGACATGAGGAATGAATATATGATGCTGATTTGATATTGGTTATTTTCAAGTGAATAATATGGTTGCTAGAGTAGAATTCAAAATTTAAGAGGTATGAAGTAATGAGGATTGCCACACCATTATTTTGTGGCTTGTAGGAAAAAAAAATTAAACCTGTTATTTTAGCCATGGCCCTTCCATCCAGAGTTGGAACAGAATTGACCAATTAGAAAATGTTTTAAGATGTCTTGTAACTTTATTATTGCTTACAGATAAGGAGGGACTTAAATATTCATTATTACAAATATTTCCTACCCAATTTTGAGCCCTGAAAACTCTGACTTAACTATATAACTTAGCACCTGCTATGGGGAAGAAGAAAGCAGCCATGTGAGCTTTCTCACATTTTGGAGTAATAATTCACCTTCCAAACTCTCCTGTTTCTTCAGTGCCATGCCTTCCTCCTTGTGACCTAGGTTGAGAGTCACCTCTGACTCTTCCTTCTTCCCATATCCAGTCAGTTGCCAAAATTCTGTTGGATCTGTTTCTATCCTATCTTTCATGCCCATCCTTCCTCTCCACTCATACTTCTGCTGCTCTGGTTCAGGCCCTGATGTCCTCTTTGGGCTGTGATAGGCTAATGAAAGGCTTCCTGCTCTCCTTGCCTCCAGTTTCTCCCCCTCCAAGCCATCCTTCACACAGCTGCTAAAATTAGCTTCCTGACGCACAGTTCTAACTGCCATGCCTTCAGTGGCCTATAAAGTTCTTATTGTGGTGTTTAAGTCCCTTCACGATCTGGCTTCCACCTCCCTTCCAGCTTTATTTCATATCATCCCCTTTACTACCTTCCAGCTACACTAGACTGTCCTTTGAGCATAGCCTGTCTTCCGCCTCCATGAGTTTGAGCAGGCTGGCCACGGTGCCTTTGCCACTTTGCCTCTTCATTGCTGCCTTTAGGAATCCTCATCTTCCTTTCAATTCAACCAAAATGTGTTAAATGTCTACTACATGCAGGACTCAGCTTGGGTACCAGGGGTGCTCTCTCCCTCTTAAAATCTCCTTGGAGCATTTTCCCAGGATTTCTCCTTTACGCTATCACCCCCGGCTTTGTACTGTTCTTTTCTATGAAAACCTATTCCTCCTCCTACCCCAGAAGGCTGCAGATCCTGGAGAGCCTAGGCTGTCCCTCCCTCATGCCTAACATAGTGCCTTGCCCATTGGAGCCTCTTAATAAACATTTGTTGTAAAGGAAATAAGATCTTTGAGTAGGGATCTTCTAAAGGAAGAAGAAACACCTCTCTCATATTGTTGTTGTTGTTCAGTCATTTCAGTCACGTCCATATCTTGGTGACCCCATTTGGGGTTTTCTTGGCAAAGATACTGGAGTGGCTTGCCATTGCCTCCTCCAGTTCATGTTACAGATGAGGAAACTAAGTCAAACAGGGTTCAGTGACTTGCCCAGGATCACACAGCTAGTAAGTGTCTAAGGCTGGATTTGAACTCAGGTCCTCCTGACTCCAGGGCCAGCTCTCTGTCCACTGCAAGGCTTTCCTTCCACTGTTTGTAAGCTGTGTTTTCTATTGTAGCACTCCTCTCCTGGTAGCGTTTCATAAAAAGTGCAGCCCAGGCTAGTGCATCCTTTTTGGATGCTTCTGAAGAGTTTCCTCCTGCACACTACTCAGCTAGGTTCTGTTTTTTCTTTACAGTTATGAATGACATCATTGCAACCATGTTCAATAAAAAATTTTTGGAGGAGCTATTCAAGCCCCAAGAGCTCTATTCCAAGAAGGCACTGAGAACCATCTACGATCGCCTGGCTCATGCCTCCATCATGAGACTAAACCAGGCCAGCATGGACAAGGTGAGCAGAATCTCTCTGTTCTCTGGCTTATATTTCTTCTGCCCTTCCTTATTTTTGTTTTATTGCCTCAGACTGAATTGATAACCTAAACTAAATAATCTTCTCCTCTTCTCCAACTTAATTCATTTTCATTCTTAGCTGACTTCCAATTCTTCTTGGACCTCCAATTAGGTGTATTATTGCAGAAAACCAGAAATCTCAAAACCACCTTTAAATTGAAATATTTTCAAAATTGTTTCAGTCTAGTAACATAAAATTGTCACTTCAGGAAAACAAGTTGGAGCATTTCAATCTGAGGAATAGTAGTTCTGCTTAGAGGTGCTGCATTATGTAGCTTATAAAAATCTTGAAGTCTGGCACTGTGGATACCACACTTGCCAGATGTTTGCTTCCATCCTCAAGGAAATAGCAGATGCCTCAGCCCACATACCAAGGAGATCTTGAGCTGTGGCATATCTTTGGAGCTTCATCCAATCCTGCAGCTCGACGGGGACCCCACTGTCATTTGATTCATCTTGGCCTCCAGTCACTTACCCTCCCATTCTCACAGAAAGGGCCTCACCTCCCACTGCACTACAGAAGTTGGTGTTAACCTGCCAGAGACGTGGCTGGATCAAGAGTCAAGAGACCTGGTTCAGATTCTGGCTCTGACATTGACTACCTGTGTGACCATGGAAACAGCAGTCAACCACTCTGAGCTTTCACTTCATTTATCACAGGGAGCTAATAATATTACCCTCTCCATCTTACACAGTCATCAGAAAGAAAGTGCTTTGTAAGCTTTTAAAGGGCTATAGAAATATAAAACGTTGATACTCGGGCGATCATCAAACACCTATAGCATAATATAATTAACATAGCCCATTAAGTAATACAATAATAAGACGATTATCCAGTGTGAGTTGCCATATTGGAGGCAACTAGGTAGCACAGTAAGTAGAATATCGGACCTGCAGTCAGGAAGACTTCAAATCCAGCCCAACTCACTAATTGTATGACCCTGGACAAGTCACTTAACCACTGTCTGCCACTGAAGGTGGAATTTTAGTTGGGACTTAAAGGAAGGCTGGGAAGTCAGTAATCAGAGTAGAGGGGGGAGAGCATTCTGGCCTTGGGGGACAGCCTGAGAAAACGCCTGGGCTTGAGAGATGAAGGATCTTGTTCGTGGAATTGCCGGAAGTCCAGTGTCACTGGGTTAAAGAGTACATTTTGGGGAGTAAGGTGTAAGAAGACTGGAAAAGTAGAAGGGAGCTAGGTTATGAAGAGCTATGAATGTCAAACAGAACATTTTGTGTTTGATCTGGGAGGACACTGGAAGTTTATTGAGTGGGGAGTTTGGAGTTGGTGGGGAGAGGAAGTATGACATGGTCAAACCTGTGCTTTGGGAAAATCGCTTTGGTGGCTGAATGGAGGGTGAGCTAGAGTAGAGAGAGACTTGCGGCAGGCAGGCTCGCCTGCTGACGAGAGTGTGGCAGAGTCAGGAGACAAAGAGATGTATGGGAGAGATGTTGCAGAGGTGAAGCTGACAAGCCTTGGCAGCAGCTGAAGGATGAGGAATGAAAGGTAATGACGAATCCAGGATTGCTCCAAGCTTGCGAGCCTGAAGGACGAGACGGATGGTGTTGCCGTCTGTAGTAATGGGGAAAGTAGCAGGGGGGTAGAGTTTAGAGAGAAAAATAATGAGTTCTGTTGTATCAGTGGTGGTCCCTAAGATCCCTTTTAGTTCTACATCTATGATCCCATATCCTTTTTCTCTCTCACTGCTCTACTTCTAAAAATACGTGATTTATACCTATTGCCTCCCAGTGCCTCCCTTTTCTCCATCCTTAGCCCTTTATAATCTGGTTTCTCCTTACAACTCTGCTGAAACTTCTTTCTTCCATTCAAATTTTCTTGACCTCTCCAGTATATTTGACACTAATGACCAGCTTCCTCCATCCTGAAACTGTCTTCTTTTGGCTTGTATGACCTACCTCTCCTCCTATACCTGTATTTCTTTCACTGACTCAGAATTACAGAATCTCAGAACTGGAAGAGACCTCTGAAACCATCTAGTTCAGCCTAAGAATGCCTTCTACAGCATCCCAACAAATGGCCATCTAGATTTATTTTGAAGACCTCAAATGATGGAGAACATATTACTTCCCAAATCATTTGGATAACTCTAGTTGTTGGGAGATTTTTTTAAAGTCTGTAGCAGTGGTGGGGAACCTGCAGCCTCGAGGCCACATGTAGCCCTCTAGGTCCTCAAGTGTGCACATTCTGTGAAGTTTGGATTCAGTCAGAGGGCTGCACACATTCTGTGAAGTTTGGATTCAGTCAGAGGGCTGCACTTGAGGACCTAGAGGGCTACATGTGGCCTCGAGGCTGCAGGTTCCCCACCCTGGTCTATAGTGAGATAATCCTTTTACTGTTTCTTAATTCACTCTATTGAACTTCCCTTAGCAGCTATTCCAAACCTTCTCTCCTCAAGCCTCCCACACACCCCTTCGCCTACAATACCATCAAAATACCTCACCTCAAATGTTACTGAGAAAAAAAGAGGGCATTTGCTATTCACTCACTCTTCTTTTTCCCTCCATCACAAAATAACTTGACATCATCCTTCCTCCTTTATTCCAGTCTGATAAAGAGGTCGACCTTCCCCTCACCAACACTAGCTCTTCTAATTGTACCTCTGATTCTAATTCTATCTGTAATTGCCTCCACAATCATCCTTTTTGTCTCAAATCTTCAACTTCTCCCTATCTATTGCCTTCTTCCCTCCTGCCTATAAACTTGCTTCAGGTCTTCTCCATCCTTAAAAACCTTGACTTGGCCCTACTGTCCCCTTAAGCTATTGTCTTATCTTTCTGTTTGATTTCAGAGCTCAGCTGGAGGTGTGGGGGACAACACTATCTCTGCCCTGTTGCCGCCACTTTCTCTCTTCTCACTCACTTCTTTTTTTATGCTCCTCTGCATATTGGATGTTTTTGTCTCCTTCAGATCTTCTTTTCATTTTCCTCTCTGAAAATTTTTTTTATTTTATTGAACCAACTTTTTTTTTTTTACAATTCTCTTATTTCCTACTGACTCAGCCTCCACCTCCACCCCCAATACAAGTCCTCCCTTAATATACTGGCCATGTCCAAAAACATGTATCGCATTCTGTACCTCTGTTCTATCACCTTTCTGTCAACAGGCATGAAGCATGCTTCATTATCAGTCTTCTGAAGTCATGATTAGTCACAAGTTGTTTTCATTTACAATATTGGGGTCATCATGTAATTTCCTAGTTCTGCTCATTTCACTTTGTATCAGTTCTCTGAATTCTTCCTATTTGTCACTTCTTACGTTTTAATATTTTGTTTTTTCCTATTACATGTAAAAACAATTTTTAACATTTACCTTTTAAAATTTTGAGTTCCAAATTCTCTCCCTTCCTCCTTTCCCTCCCCCTCCATTGAGAGTGCAAGCAATTTGATACAGATTATACATGTGCCATCATGCAAAACATATTTCCATATTTGTCATGTTGTAAAAGAAAACAGACCAAAAAAAGAAAAAACCAAGAAAAATAAAGTGAGGAAAAAATATGCTTTAATCTACATTCAGACTCTATCAGGTCTCTCTCTGGAGGTGGATAGCATTTTTCATCATGTGTCTTTTGGAATTGGCTTGGATCATTGTCTTGATTAGATTAATTAAGTCTTTCATGGTTGATAATGGTACAATATTGTTGTAAATGTGTACACTGTTCTCTTGGTTCTTTGCATCAGTTCATAAAAGTTTTTCCAGGTTTTCTGAAAGCTTTCTACAATCATTTTTCTTTTTTGGCTAGGCAATGGGGTTAAATGACTTGCCCAGGGTAACACAGCTAGTAAATGTCAAGTGTCCAAGGCCAGATTTGAACTCAGGTGCTCCTGACCCCAGGGCCAGTTCTCTATCCACCTGCCCCTGCAATCATTACTTACAGCACAATAGTATCCCATCATAATCATATACCACAACTTGTTCTGCCTATCCCCAATTGATGGGCATCTGCTCAATTTCCAATTCTTTGCCACTACAAAAAGAGCTGCTATAAATATCTTTGTACATTTTCCTTTTCTGCCATATTAGCCAATCTGATAGATATGAGGTGGTACTTCAGAATTGTTTTAGTTTTCATTTCTCTAATCAATAGTGATTTAGGGCATTTTTTCACATGGTTATAGGTAGCTTTGATTTCTTCTTCTGAAAACTGCCTTCCATATCCTTTGACCATTTATCAGTTGTGAAATGACTCATATTCTTTTGCTTTTCTTTTATTGTTTCTTGATGCCTCATGGAGTTATTAGCTTCCACTTTCCCAATTCTAATTTTTAAGGAATTATTATCTTCAGTGAGCTTTTATACATCCTCCATTTGGCCAGTTCTATTTCTTTAAGGAGTTCTTCTCTTCAGTGAAATTTTATACCTCTTTTTCCGTTTGGCTAGTTCTTCTTTTTAAGGAGTTCTCTTCAATGTTTTTAGGCCACCTTTACCAAGCTGTTAACTCTTTTCATGATTTTCTTGCATCACTCTCATTTCTTTTCCCCATTTTCCCTCTACTTCTCTTATTTGATTTTTAAAATCCTTTTTGAACTCTTCTGGGAATTCTTTTTGGGCCTGAGGTCAATTTACATTTGTCCTTGAGGCTTTGGATGTGTCTATTTTGACTCTGTTGTCTTCTTCTGAGATTGTGTTTTGATCTTCCCCATCACCATAGTAACTTTTATAGTCAGGTTCTTTTTTGTTGTTTCTCCTTTTTCCAGCCTATTTCTTGAGGTTTAACTTGATGTTACAGTTGGGCTCTGCTCCCAGAGTAGAAAGGGCACTGTCCCAGGCTTTAGGTTTTTTGTGCTGCTATTTTCAGAGCTAGTTCTGACGATCTGTAAGCTTTCAGTTCTTCCAAGGTAGTGTGATCTAAGGAGAGATGTGGGCACTGCTCTTCTGGCCTGTGCTCTTGTCTGTGAGTAAGCACAAGCGCCACCCTTTTC